CTAGTTCGATGAGATAAGAGTTACTCATATTGCTCGGTTCTCAAGGTTACAGGTTCGAGGCTCATTCCAGTACGGCCTACCACGTCCAATCGCGAGATGAAAGTGACTGGTTGACATCGCAATACGTAAATCCATCATGAACTTCGGGTTCACTGCCTGCACACTGTTTTCAGTGGTATTACAAACAGGCTTTGCAAGAAGATTTTATCGATGTAGCGTATCGTTACTTTGAGCACTCAGCCTCGCAGTGAATCACCTATTTAATATATTGCAGACCACATTTTAACTGCTCTTGTTCTGTACTTTGTCATCTGATTTAACTTCCCTAGAAAGTATTTTCTTTCGAAAATGTTATCAAACAGCTTTACCCGAGAGCGCTTTCACTGAACGTCAAACCATGTCGATTATAAGAAGCAAAATTGAACAGGACATTACTTCTGAATTCCAGACACCAACTATCAGGGCAAGCCTAATCTTACCCGGAGAATTCTCGCAGTTTGGGTTTAAACTGGATTAGAATCAGCTGCCACCGTGAGAACGTGTGGGCGTTCTCTTCACGGTCGTTAGGGTAACGAACAGAGAACTGCAATCCCGTTTGTGCGATCTCTCTGTCGGCGCACTCGTAACCCCGAAAAATAATTAGACTGTGATCAACGCCATTTATACCACACGTTTCTTCCTTTTTTAATCCACGTTTGGCGGGCACTTCCACTAAAGATCTGCACATTTTGCCACTGTCTTTTCACTGTGATCTTTGGGAATGCACATCGTGGGATCAGGTTCGGTGATAGTTTGGCGAGACAAAACCAACCATCTTCAAGAAGTTGAAAGATACTAGAGTTTTGTTCTCACAGTATATATAGCTTCCCGTGAAGTATACTGGCGTAGATTTTGATTACTCTCCAGGGCGGTTGAGTCATTGAACTGTAATTTTTAGTGTCATACAACAAAGTTCGAAACAATCTAGTAAAGCGGTAGGAGGCGAGTGATCAATAGAATACATCCATAATGCTCTCGTTAAGTTGTGTTCCTATACCTGGTGTATGTACGTGCGCGGTCTAACACAGGTGCACAGCACAATTTGTACCCATGAGCGAACGCTAAAGCACCCCGAGCAAAGGATAAATGACCATGAGAAACTCTGTATTATGTGATTCGCCTGTGCACGACCGGAGAGAACTGTTTATTTCTCCATTCTTCTTTTCACCTTTTGTCCAGTAGCAGCAAAATCTGATGTTGAATGAAGAAAAAGTAACACGTGTAACACGCCCCATCGAAGCTGCATTAGCCGGTCAGACGTTTTCCACATTTAACCCGGTTGTTGGACCCTAGCGAAGTGCGCACACCATATTGTATCCATTTATTGTTAGCTGCGTCTCAGTGTCCCAATGCGATTTTGATTTTATCCCAAATCTAATTATCACTGTTCAAAAGAACCTTTGATTAGATAATATNGTGATGACAGAGATGGTATTTCAAGGTCAGTTGCCCATTTACGGCAGGGATCATTTATGCATCTGTTGTTCCCTCGATAGGTGACAAGAAGAAAATGTATTCGAAACATTGGACTGCACAAAATCTAGCTGTCGAAACCTGTAACTGTCTAATCCGGAAGGGGTCAGATAATGTTTGGCGAGTCTATAGAGTTTCAACCCTCCGTCTGTTATAGTTGTTAACGAGAGTTGATTTGAAAGCGCCCATCTCTTTGATCGAGCTAGGCACCAAATCCCATATCTGGCTAAATAATTTTTCGACTTGTACCTCCAAATTCACGAACTCATTCATATTTCCTTTTGGAAGACAAAACTTGGGGCCTGACGATAGAACCTTGATTTGCGTGTGATTCGGACTGATACGAAGTAGGTTATGGATGTACCTCTCAGGTTGGTTGGGGAAATTGCATGGCCGTATCTGTTTGTCCAACATCCGCCTTAGGCAGGACAATCTCTTTTCTTGATTGAACCATGGTGCGCACATAACTGAAATATTCCGGATTCAAATCCTCGTGTAAACAATCCACAAAATTCCGGCGCTGTGATATATTCGGTTCATATACTCTGTCACTTTAGGGCGAATAATGTCACATTCATTAAGGGCTTGATACCGCAATGTTTTAGCATTTGGATAATTTCCGCGTAATGGTGAGGCTAACAGTTTGTTTGAATACAGTCACGAATGAATTCAACACAAATGTTTGCCCCTTCAAATCGCGTGGAAAACGCAAGGAACTGATTCAGTACTTTCACCACGTTAGGCTCTGTGCAATGTTTCAAATTTCGAAATATACCCCTACTTGCATTTAGAACACAATTTCAGGTGAACAATTGTTTTTAATAACTCATAATCATGCCGTTACAGTTTATGTGAGGGGGCAAAACTTAGGGGTTGAGAGCAGAACAATAAAATGGGAGGAATCGTCCACTTCGTGTATGCGTGTCTGTGTGCGTGTGTTGCACACTGCATTCTCAGGTTTGTGCTTCCGGGGTTTTCATTTACGCCACGTTGGTTGTGTGAAATGGAAAAATTACCGTTTTATCTCTATTTGAATCGAACACTATTTGGGTATGAACGACATGCTCTTGGACTATGCCTCTGGACTCTTGAACCTTGGATTCATAACTCTTTTATAATAGGGCGTTCATTTAGGTGCTGTTCTTTTTCCAGTTTCTTAAGGGAGGTAATTGTATTCAAGAAAGCACAGAGTAACGAGCGAGCGCGTTTTAGGTAACTTCATCTTCTGGTTAGTACAGTTACATGAATAGGAAAAGCACAAAATCTTCATGAAGTTTGATGTTTGTCTACATATTTCACGCACATCTGATGCCAGACTGTATGCCAAACAAATAATGGTACAACTATCTCTATAAA